TCCAGCGAGTGTCTCTGTGTTGTTCATTCGTTCAGTCGTTTCCGACTCTTCGTGACCTCATGGACCAGCCCATGCCAGAGCTCCCTGTCGGCTGTCACCACCCCCAGCTCCCTCAAGGTCAGTCCAGTCACTTCAAGGATGCCATCCATCCATCTTGCCCTTGGTCGGCCCCTCTTCCTTTTGCCTTCCACTTCCCCAGCATAATTGTCTTCTCTAGGCTTTGCTGTCTCCTCATGATGTGGCCAAAGTACTTCAACTTTGTCTCTAGTATCCTTCCCTCCAATGAGCAGTCTGGCTTTCTTTCCTGGAGGATGGACTGGTTGGATCTTCTCGCAGTCCAAGGCACTCTCAGAACTTTCCTCCAACACCATAGCTCAGCCTTCCCTAAGGTCCAGCTCTCACATCCGTAGGTTACTACAGGGAATACCATGGCTTTGACAAGGCGGATCTTTGTTGCCAGTCTGATGTCTCTACTCTTCACTATTTTATCGAGATTGGCCATTGCTCTCCTTCCAAGAAGTAACGTCTTCTGATTTCCTGGCCACAGTCTGCATCTGCAGTAATCTTTGCACCTAGAAATACAAAGTCTGTCACGGCCTCCACGGTTTCTCCCTCTATTTTCCAGTTGTCTATCATTCTTGTTGCCATAATCTTGGTTTTTTTGATGTTTAGCTGCAACCCGGCTTTTGCGCTTTCTTCTTTCACCTTGATTAGAAGGCTCCTCAGCTCCTCCTCGCTTTCGGCCATCAGAGTGGTGTCATCTGCATATCTGAGGTTGTTAATGTTTCTTCCAGCAATTTTCACCTCAGCTTTGCATTCATCCAGCCCCGCACATCGCATGATGTGTTCTGCATACAAGTTAAAAAGGTTGGGTGAGAGTATGCAGCCTTGCCGTACGCCTTTCCCAATCTTGAACCAGTCTGTTGTTCCGTGGTCAGTTCTGACTGTTGCTACTTGGTCCTTGTACAGATTCCTCACGAGAGAGACAAGGTGATTTGGTATCCCCATACCATCAAGAACTTGCCACAATTTATTATGATCCACACAGTCAAAGGCTTTAGAATAGTCAATAAAACAGAAATAGATGTTTTTCTGAAACTCCCTGCCTTTCTCCATTATCCAGCGGATATTGGCAATTTGGTCTCTCGTTCCTCTGCCTTTTCTAAACCCAGCTTGAACATCTGGCAACTCTCGTTCCATGTATTGCTGGAGTCTTCCTTGCAGGATCTTGAGCATTACCTTACTGGCATGAGAAATAAGGGCCACTGTACGGAAGTTTGAGCAGTCTTTCGCATTTCCCTTTTTTGGTATGGGGATATACGTTGATTTTTTCCAGTCTGATGGCCATTCTTGTGTTTTCCATATTTGCTGGCATATGGCATGCATCACCTTGACAGCATCATCTTTTAAGATTTTAAACAGTTCAGCTGGGATCCCGTCATCTCCTGCTGCCTTGTTGTTAGCAATGCTTCTTAAGGCCCATTCAACCTCACTCCTCAGGATGTCTGGTTCTAATTCATTCACCACAATGTCAAAACTATCCTCGATATTATTATCCTTCCTATACAGATCTTCTGTATAGTCTCGCCACCTTCTCTTGATTTTGCTTTTACAATACCTAAAATGGTCTCTATTAGACTTGGGGAAATTATTGTAGTATTTACACCACCACCACCACCACCCCCTTGAGCCACAAAGGCTCTCTGAGCAACTTACAAGTTGGTAATTAGTGGATGTGCTTTGTTAACACTTATTCCACCTTGTTGCAGCTTGCTTTACTGGCTCTCTCCTTGTATACTTGGAATACAGGTTGAGTATCCCTTATCCAAAATGCTTGTGACCATGTTTTGGATTTATGGATCCTTTTGTATGTTGGCATTCCTGTATTTGCATAATCTTGGAGTTGAGGCCCAAGTCTAAGAAAAAAAATCATACACCTTATACATATTGCCTGAGGATAATTTATGCAATTTTTAAAGTAATTTTGAGCAAAAGTAAAGTCTGTGTACATTAAACCAGCAGAAAACAAAGGTGTCACTGTCTTAGCCATGTGGCCAATTTTGGATTTTGGAGGATTTTGTAATTCCAGATAAGGGAGGCTTATCCTGTAAAATAATTTTATTTTTTTAAATCATATATTTGCTAATCATCTTGATTTTTCCCCCGTTTTGAAATGTTTAGGACCAGAATGAACGAAATCATTTCTCATCTTACTGGAAACAAGTTGGACCAATAGCTGTGGGATCGTTCTGTCTCTTTGTCTTTGATATGTGTGAGAGGTAACTTATCGAGTTTCTATTTTATAACCTCCCTTTAATCTCAGTATGATTGGTTTTAAGAAGATAAGAAGATTGCTTCTTAAAATAATAAGAAAATACCAGGGTTGTTTGCATTAAATACAAGAACACTTCGATATTGGGGATTCTATATGAAACCACCCATCCTGTTTCACAAGTCAGTTGGTTTTTACAAGGCATCCAATGCTAGATGTCTGCTGGTAACCCCCTTTCCAAACCAAACTGCCATGTACTTCCAAACATGTAAGGCTGGAAAACCATCATGGGTGCGGAGGACAACGAGGACAGAGGAGTGGAGTAACATATCAGTGTCAGTATAGTACCAGTTGCACAACACTGGGGTTAGGCCTTTTTAATGACTTTCTGACTCCTAAATTAAAAGATCATGGCATCCTTACTTTTCAATTTTGATATCAAATGGCTTCATTTTCATTCTTAACACCAGTCATTAAACTTAAATTATATACTTCTTATTTAAAGTGAGAGGACATGTGTGGTATTCCTAGATGGTTTTAAAGTTCAGCAAGATAAAGAAACAGGTAGCCTCTGTTTTAGCTCAGGTCATATATTTTAGCCTGGCCTTGAGAGCTGAAGGTACACTGGATTTCCAATTAACATTTATATAAAGGAAGAACTAGCTACTCAAGATGCATGGCTGCCATCAAACTAATGGTATCACATCGATATCTCCTTCCTTCTGTGTTTTAATGTGACATAGTGTTGTAGTAAAGTAAAGGTAAAGGTTGACTCTGGGGAATGGTGCGCATCTCCATTTCTAAGCCGAAGATCTGGCGTTGTCTGTAGACGCCCCCATGATTATGTGGCCAGCATGACTGCATGGAGCTCCATTACCTTCCTGCCGAAGGTCACATTTGCATGTTTTCGAACTGCTAGGTTGGCAGAAGCTGGGACTAACAGTGGGAGCTCACCCTGCTCCCTGGATTTGAACCACCAACCTTTCGATTAGCAAGTTCAGCAGCTCAACAGTTTAACCCGCTGCGCCACCACTCTAATTTTAAAAAGTGACTTTCCTCTTTTGTGAATAGAATAGAGATAGGCAAGAGTGTAGTTCACCCCAGGAGAATGTAAAAGAAACACCAACCTCCTCTCTTGTATACCACTTCTGGCCCTCTTAAGTCGGCATTGGTATTTTGCCCTCTCTGCAGAATGACTTTTGACTTATCGACTGGTCATATCAAAAACATAATTTTGACTTGCTCCCGACTTGTGCATCAAGGGAACTTTGTATGCTTTTTACTGTTCTTCAAAAACAGTGGACATATTGATTCTGTACATTGCAGTCTAAAAAGGATTTTCCCTGCAAGGTCTGGCATGACACGTTTTGTCTTTCATTACTACAATGTCCTGTTACTTTCTGGTGTTTGGTAGAAATTGATTCCTCACAAAGGCTCCTCTTAGAAACCTAAACAGACATGGGCCAAGATCGAATGGCATGGATCTTTTAGTTCTGTCAGCAGAACTTAAAGAGTCCAATCTTGCCTTCTCCCCACTGTAGATGTAGCCACCTCTATGCTTAGGCTTTGTTTACATTGAATGGGCCACAGAAGCATTATTCTGCCAGGTTGAAATATAATGAAATTGTGTTTTAACCATACATTATAAGTAGCATATTGCAACACTGAAGCAGTTTTCATATACAATCCATCAAAGTTTGTTTTAAACTTTGATTATTAATAATTTGTTCTTTTGATTCTCTTCTGTTTTTCAGAGGGGTACAATTAAAAAACCCTTTCTATAGTATCTGGGCTACAGAGGTCGGCACAGAACTGGCTGTATCCTTTGCCTTTTGCATCAGAGAGGGCATTGATTTGCTTTTTGTGGTGCGGGAAGGGAAGAAAACTAGAAGCTGTGACTGCTTTCTGCGCATGGATTTGCTGAATTTATTTTAAAATTTTGGAACATTTGGGCAATCCTTTGATGAAGATTCATGAATCCCTCACAAGAAAAACATTTAGAGGTGCTTTCCTGCAGAGTCTACCTTCAGAGAAGGCAAAGGTATCATTAGAGCAGAAAAAATGATTTGACATGTTTTTTTACTGGATATCCTGTGTACTATGTTCACACACATGTAAGGATATGTGATTTTGTTTGTTGAGCAGTGAGGATGAGAATAAAAGGCATATCAGGGCCTGGCTGGTGTCTAAACCTGGATTGAGGAGAATTCTGACTTCCTTAACGTTACTGCTCAGATGGCCTTTATTATCGTTGCTGGAATCTGCCTCTGTCTCTATTTCTTGCTGCTGTGTTTTATGGTGTTTCAAGTGTTCAGAAACATCAGTGGCAAGCAATCCAGCCTCCCAGCGATGTCCAAAGCTCGAAGGCTTCATTATGAGGTGAGAGATCTTTCGGCTTCAGAGGCCAGGGCCATCTCCAAGTTGGCTGGCTAATCAGGTCCAATGAGAGGATGGATCTTTCCCCAGAACATCTAGAGCTGTTAAAGAGATTGCTTCATTATGTTTTGCATACTCTGTATGTAGGTGTTTTGCTATTTGGAAACTGCCCTGAGTCCCCTAGGAGAGGTAGAGCGGTATATAAATAAAGTTGTTGTTGTTGTTGTTATTATTATTATTATTATTATTATTATTATTATTATTATTATTCTAGGGAGTCAATAAACTTTTTCCATTTGGTTAGGATAAATGCTGCCATGGCTATTGAGGGGCTATTTGAAGGTTTCATGCAAGCTTTACAATGCATTTGTGAAGGGGAACTTGTAAAACCTTATTAATAAGTATGAAGGAGTTTGGAGGCAGCTGCAGATGGGTTAGCCACTGATATCTCCATTAGAGAAGACATTAGCTGGAAGGTAAAGACTACTACTTTTATAAGGTAATTGAATGGAAAATGAATAATCTTCCTGTCTCTGTGAAAGAGGACCCATATCCTGGCACAAGGGTTGTTAGTTCTACAGTTAGCTAAAGAGTCACTGCCCATTCCTCTTCTCTCTCAAATTTCCTTCACTTTAATTTGGAAATAGGTTTTGGGAATAATAAGAATAATTTTATTCTTATACCCTGCCACCATCTCCATGAAGGGACTCGGGCAGCTTACAGAGGGGACAGAAAGTCCAATAGACAGAAAGCAAAGCAATCCATTAAAACATAAACACCACTAAAAGAGCATCATCAAATACAACAATCCATATAAAAACACAATTAAACGTAAGAGAAGAAAACAGCAGCATTGAAGCGCCATCAGACAATATTCAACAAAAACCAATTACCAGATTTACTAAAATGAATTACTAACCTGTAACCAGGTTATAAAAGGGTCAGGCATGGAATAGAGCAAAATAGTGTACCACAAGGCCAGGGAATTGGATGAGGTACAGAGAATAGAATACTATCTGGTGACCAAGGTACTGGGCATTTATAACTAAAGACTAGTTGTTCTCAAATGCTTCCTGGAACATCCAAGTTTTCAGATCCCTGTGAAAGGAGGACAGTGTGGGGACTTGCCTAATCTCCCTGGGGAGAGTTTTCCAAAGTAGAGGGGCCACCACCAAGAAGGTCCTCTCCCTCGTCCCCACCAGCTGTGCCTGTGATGGAAGCAAGAGAAGAGCCTCCCTGGCAGATCTTAGAGCCTGCACCAGTTCGTAGGGGAAGATGCAATCACAAAGATAGGCAGGGCCTGAACCGTTTAGGGCTTTGTAGGTCATAACATGCACCTCATAATGGTACAGGATTCCCCGACAGTTTTGTGTTTTTGTATATTTTACTCCAAGACCTGCTGCCTATATAGATAAGACTTGTCAACACAATTTACTGAAAACTGTTAAGATGGAAGCCATAAAATATGTGGCATTTCTTGCTAAAATAATCAGCTCCACAGCAGTGTCATCATGTAGGCCTCATATACGCTGTTATACTGTATAATGCAGTTCGAAACTGCATTATTTGGCAGTGTAGATAGGGCCTGACCTTCTGCATTTAAATAGTTGAAATGTTCTTTTAGTATGCATTTTCCACACTTTTCTGCTCTTCTCTTAGGGGCTGATTTTTAGATTCAAGTTCTTGATGCTGATTACCTTAGCCTGTGCTGCCATGACAGTAATATTTTTCATTGTCAGTCAGGTGAGTTATCTTAAACTGGTTTGTTGAGGCATTTCTTCAATTGTTGCTAAGTGGTGGCGTGTGTGACTATAGTCTGGTGCCTTGCTGATGTTTTGGTAGGATCAACAAGAGGAGCCTCTTGATTTAAAATGTGGGGGTTTGCCTTCCTTTCCCCGCAATCAGGATGTGCACTTCTTGATTTCCACCTGGGACGGGAGCGTGCAAGAAGATGCCTAAGAGTGTTGCTTAAACTGCACATGTATTGTGACTGCCTGTCTTGATATCACTAAGAAAGCCATGCATATCAGAATAGAAATATAGGATGTGTTATTTCATGTATGGAAATAAATCATTAATCATATGTATGTTTGCACTCTTGCTTGTCTTCTAGTTTTTTCTGTTTACTCTATGGATATATATTTCACATATGTATATCATACTTTTCCTCCTATGTAGGTGACCGAAGGCCACTGGAAATGGGGTGACTTCACCGTTCAAGTGAACAGTGCCTTTTTCACAGGGATTTATGGGATGTGGAATCTTTATGTCTTTGCCTTGATGTTCCTGTATGCTCCCTCACACAAAAACTACGGTGAAGATCAATCAAATGGTGAGATGATATTTGATACAGCTGTACCTTGGTTGGAGTCTAAAAACCAATAATTAGAGAATGAGGGTTCCTCTGTATTTAGGAGACACCTGTGATTGGCCATATTCCAGAAGCATTATCACCTGACTTTCACCCACATCTATGGCAGGCATCCCCAGAGGTTGTGATGTCTGTGGAAACTAGGCAAGTGGGGTTTATATATCAGGGCCAGCTAACACTTCGCAACAAAGAATTCCTCCAGGCAGGAAGCAGCCAGGCTCTGAAGCTGCGATGCTATTCAAGGCTAATCAAGCTGGCCAATTGCAACATTCACAGTTGCCTCAAAAAGACAAGAGTTCTTTCGCCCACCCTGGACATTCCACAGATTTTGCCTAGTTTCAGAGACCTCATAACCTCTGAGGATGGCTGCCATAGATGTGGGCAAAGTGTTAGGAAAGAATGCTTCTAGAGCATGGCCATACAGCCCGGAAAACTCACAGCAACCCATTACATTGGATGTTTACATCATTTTATGTACTTAACAAAAGCAGTCCATCCAATAATAAAAAGAGGGAGAAAACAACAACAAAGAGAAAGAGAAGAAAATATTAACAGTAAACCTTGGTCTGGGAGGATTGAAAGATTCGTAATAAAAAAAACTCTTTTTAAAATGACATCTTTGTTTTCTTATAGGAGACTTTTTAAAGAAGAAGCACTGTTATGTAGAGTGTCCTTCCAGAACACTATGTTTTCCATGTAGAAAGGGGGTGTTGGATCTGATTTTGAATTGTGCAAATTCTTCCAGCATCTGAATATGTTGGTGTAGAAGGAAAATTTGTATTAGGGAGGGGTCAGGAACAAGAATGTGCTTCCGTTTTTGCCAGATAGATAATGAAGTATGTAAAAATGGATTAGTAATCTTTTTCAGTATGTAGTTCTTCTCTGCTTTTTACTCCAAGATCACCTGAAAACAGTGATATTTGTGAGAACAGTAGTTTGTGAGAACAGGAAGATAGATTCAGCCGATATCATGTTCTGGATTGTGGATGTGACCCACCATATGGAGTGTTGTTTCTTAAGTATTTGTACAAATTGACTTAGTTGGAAGGTGTGAAAATACAGTTTGATGTAGGGAGTTGCCAGCGGATATATCACATTGATTTTGGAAAGCAGGGTCTTTGCTTCTGGACATCTGCCAATGCTTGAACCTGGGGAAGGAGGAGCAAGAAGGATGTTTTGAAATAGGAAAAACTGTTTGTAGATTAGGAACATTTTGATTAAGTGATGAGACTAAGAATGGAGAGTTTTGGGAGGTGCCAGGGTTTCATTTTTTTGTGCCATCTGTGAGATAAGGGGATTGTATTTCTGTGGGATGAGTTGATGGAGGTCTTTTAAAAAATTGTTATCCCCAAGTAACAGAAGCCAAAGAGGTAGCGTTGTAAAATAATTAATAGAGTACCATTTGTGTGTGTGTGTGTGTGTGTGTGCGCGCAAGTGGTACATTTGAGGTCGACACTTTGGGACTTTAGTTTGACTTGATGGTAGCTAATTTTTATCTACTGATGATTTTGCGTTTTAAATTTTATTTTATTTTATGTGTTGATAGTGGTTGGTTTATAGTTTTTATGTGATATGTTTTATTCTCGGGTATCATTTATGTTATATACTGCACTTCAGTGTCGTTCTTGTAAGCTGCCCCAAGTCTTTTTTGGGAGATGGTGGTGGGATATAAATCAAGTTTTTACTACTACTACTACTACATTTAATCACATCATGGTGAATTTGTTGAAGTTAAACTGGAAACTAAAATATAGACTATTGATTGTTTTAAGACAGATTTTCTTTTAGTGGTTTGCCCAGGAAATAAGAACATCATCTGCATAGTCTTATAATGATGTCCATGTAAAGTCAAACACATTATCCAGATTAGATCATCATCATCTTTATTTATATTCCATCCTATATCCCTGGGGGGACTCAGGGTGGATTCCAACATACAAAAAGGCAAACATTCAATGCTTCGGTAAAACAAACAAATACCGACATAATCTAACAGAAAACATCCACAATTGATTTACAGGGCCCAACTAAGGTTCACAAAATTATATGGGTTGATTATCTGGCCAGTGGTGGTAGCTGGGGTAACATAAAATGACAAAGCCCAAATAGAGTGATAATTCTCGACCAGAGGTCGGGTAGTGGTCTCTCATTATCTAGTCTTCCACCTCTCCATATGCTAGTGAACAAAAATAGTCTTCAGTTGTTTCTTGAAGGAGAGGAGGGAGTTCTTTGGGGAGGGAGTTTGAGAGGTGGGGGCAAACACGGAGACAGCCCTCTCCCTCGTTCCCACCAGCCGTACTTAAGATGGAGGTGGGACCGAGAGCAGGGCCTCCTCCGCTGACCACAGTGCCCGAGCTGGTTTGTAAGAGGAGATGTGATCAGTCAAATAGCCTGGACCTATTTTAGGGCTTTAAAGGTGATGATCAGAACTTTGTATTTGGTCCAGAAGCAGACTGGTAGCCAGTGGAGCTGCCATAACATGGGAGTGGATCTCTCGTACAGAGCTCCAGTTAGTAATCTGCCTGCTGATCTCTGAATTGGTTGAGGTACGTAGAGAATGTTGCAATAGTCCAGACGTTATGTGACTAAGGCGTGGACTACCATGGCCAAGTCAGGCAGCTCAAGGTATGGCCACAGCTGGTGCACAAGTTTTAATTGTTCGAAGGCACTCCTGGCCACCACCGACACATGGGGTTTCAGGGTCAGTGAAGAGTCCAGAATCACCCCCAGACTGCAAACCTGTGTTTTCAGAGGGAGTGTGATTCCATCCAACACAGGCTGTAATCCCACATCCTGATCCACCCTCCGACTGACCAGGAGTGGCTCTTGTCTTGTCCCGATTTAATTCAACTTATTAGCCCTCATCCAGTCCATCACTGATGACAGGCTAGGGTTTAGGGGCAGCATAGCATCCTTGGTATTAAGTAGAAGGGAGTAATAGAGTTGGGTGTCATCCACATAAATTTGACTCCAAAACTCCAGATGATCTTCCATGTAAGTGTAGATTTGTGAAAGGCCCAATTGTTAGAGCAAAAACAAGGGGGGAAAGTGGGCATCCTTATCTTGTGTCTCTAGAAATTATCTGAGTTTACGAGGACTGTTTCTTTTAAATGTTCATAGATGCATTGGAGAACTGTAACAAAATTGCTCAAAATTGATATTTCAAAGTACCCCAAAGAGGAAGGTATACTTTTAATAAGCACTTTTAATGAAACTTTCAAATTTACTCCACTGCTTCAAAACTTATTTTTCTCCTGAAGCTTTGTAGTATTCATCTTATCTCTACCATAGGACTGTGTTTCTATCTAAGACTTAGTTTTTTGATTTCAGGTGATCTTGGAGTAAACAGCGGAGAAGAGCTTCAGCTTACTACCACTATCACCCACGTGGATGGACCAACAGAGGTTTACAAACTGGCTCGTAAGGAAGCCCAAGAGTAACTAATTAAGCAGAACTCATTGGGCACAAAACTGCAAAGCGCAACACAGAATAATGATGTTACTTTCCTACAAGAGTATGTCTTGATGTCACCTCTGAAGTTTCCAGACATTGAAGTACACTTCTACAAAATGGTGGTGATTGGGAAAGAGCAACTGGAAAAATACTCCTCACTAATGGTGTATCTTTATTTGGGGAAGGGGCTTGCATCAGATCTGACCCTTTTTTTCACAACACCTTTTACTTTGTCTTGAGAAAAATAAGAAAGTGATAACTGAGTGAAAGGATGAGTGAGTGACCTTTGGGTCTAGCTCTCCTTATCAACACACCTCTTGCTCCTGCTGCTATGGATACTCTTGGGAAACAGATCTGAATACTTCACATGCTTCCCAAGTCAAGTTTTTACTCCACAGTCCCAGTGCTTATATTTAGAGCAGTTTTTGTTTTTGGAAGTATACATAGTAGTTCAGTTAGTATTTTCATACTTAAACATGTTATTTCTTTTCTAATCTAGTGTAGCACTGCCTTTTGTAAAGTTTTGGTACAAAAAGGGCATTTCAGCGTGAAAGTTGAACTATATGTACATGTGTGTTTGTGTGTGTGTGTGTGAGAGAGAGAGAGTGAGGAGGCCCTGAACACTAACAAGTATTTCAGGTGTAGATAATCGTTTTATATACCCTACAAAATGCTGTTTACTTGTGTGATACATAATCCATGGAACTGAAAGGTATAGCTGTATGCGTGTGTACTTTGATAACTTTTTTTCCTTTTCTTTTTAAATAAATGCTCCAACTAGCATGGGGAATCCTGTGGATCATCTCTTTTTTATGCTATGACTAAAATACACAAATATTGTGGCTTTTGCTGACCTTCTCTTGTAAAGAAACAACATGTTGCTGCATATTCAAAGTGACGTCAAGTAGAAGAGAGTGTGTGTTGGTAGTTGTGATAATACTGACATCTGCTGGAGAGCATATGCATTCCACTGCAGTGCTGTCACCATCCTCGCTTCACAGTTGTCAACCTGTTTCAGGGAAATGAGTGGCACTTAGGATTCATTATCGAGAGCAGTGGTTCTCAACTTGTGGGTCCCCAGATGTTTTGGCCTTCAATCCTAGAAATCCTAACAGCTGGTAAACTGGCTAAAGGGAATTTAGATATGAGCAGTGATTGTTCTTTTATTTATACCAAAGAGATCCTTATATTGCTGATTCCATATAGGGCTCAATAAACAAACAGACAGGAGCATCCGGTGGCGCAACAGGTTAAATCACTAAACTTCTCAACTTGCTGATCAAAAGGTTGCAGGTTGAATCCAGGGAGCGGCGTGAGCTCCCACAGCCCAAGCTTCTGCCAACCTAGCAGTTCAAAAACATGCAAATGTGAGTAGACCAATAGATATCGCTCCGGTGGGAAAGTAACAGCACTGCATGCAGTCATGCTGGCCACATGACCTTGAAAGTGTCTGCGGACAACGCCAACTCTTCGGCTTAGAAATTGAGATGAGCACCAACCCCCAGAGTCGGACACAACTGGACTTAATGTCAGGGGAAAACCTTTACCTTTACCTAAACAAACAGGCATGCCTTGATTGGATTATATATGTGTACACACGTCATGTATTTCTTACCTGCCTCTCCTTATGGATAGTTACAATAGTGTTATTACCCCCCATTAGAGTAGGCACACTGAATCAATGGAATTTATTTATGCATTGACTTACCACTGAACCACTGATTTAATAGATCTACTTTAATATACAATAAGCATCAGGAATCTACCTGTAATGTAATTTTAAGATTTTTTTTCCAACTCCCTTTCTTCAAGACACAGAAGGTGAAGTTGAACTTTGGGTAATTGTAATTCATTTGTTTCACATTGCAAAGCTGTCTTTGAAGCTCCATTCGGGAATAGCCACTCGAATGTCATGGACAAAGTGCTCTGAGGGGCTGGATTTTTTTTCAGATGCTCCTTTTGATGTCACATTTGTATCACTCTATTATTTTGTGCAGAGAGCAGCCTCAGTCTGTGTAAACTGCAATTGGGGCATTGCTGGCAAAATGGTAAATTTGACATTTTTAAAAAACTGTTTTTTGAACCTCTTGTGTGGTGTAAATGATGTTATGAGTTGCATTATTAGAAGGCATCTTCCCCAAGATCTATACCCCTGACTGGTAGCAGGAGGGCAGAGTTATCTGGAAACAAACATACATTTACGCCCAACGCATACGTTTTGTCGCTTTATTACTAGGAAAAATATCTACTGTCATGGGAGGAGAAGAAGCATTCTTACTTGTACACTTAAATTTCAATCCCTACTGGTTGGAGGAAGAAGCAGACCTTGATTCATCCCAACAGGAGTGCGAGTTCTGCAATGAGCAGAGGGCAATAGGGATCTTTTCTTCTTCCTGACTCTCTGCAATATCCCATCTAAGAATCCCAAGAGCGATGTTTCTGCCAATGCTACTGCTAGCAACAACGGGTTTATGATACCAGGGCTTGCTTGTGTCAAAGTATTGGGACTTTTTGACTTTTAGGGACAAAGATCTCACCGCACACCTGCCTCATCCCTCTTCTCTCAATAACTCAACTCTACCCTCACAGTTGTTGAGAGGAAAGTGGATTTTCCCTCGCAATAATGCTATCCCTACTCTAACTGAAAACATTTGGAAATGGCTTGGTGTTGCAGGGATAGTGAAAACCCATCAGCTTTACAACAGATATGCACTTGACGGAAATGGAAACTGCTAGAAGTAGTTAATTGATGAAGATCAACAGAGCTTCCAGAATTTTGAGAATGAGGCTCTGAGAATTGTCCTGATGGCCATAGCATCACTGACAATGTTCACAGCAAAGCAACGCACACAGGACTTGCTGTACTTTTCCATAATATTTGGTGCATGGCCTCTTGCAGCCACAGCAGCAAGAAAAACAACAACATTGTGATATGTACCTCATACTTTTAGCTGTATCTATTTTAAGTTTTATAAGCTGTCCTGACTCCCAGCACTGGTGAAAAGGTGAGATATAAATGAAGCAAGAACATTCAAACATTTTAGTGGCTCACAATAATCGGTCTGTTAGTCTCCAAGGGGCCATGCCTCACCTTGGTTCTCCCCACTATAATTTCTACAAGTTGGACAATCTAAAATAATTATGGAAGTACTTACAGGAAGTTACAGACACTTTACCACTATCATCACTTCTCAAGCCTTTTTTCTTTCCCATGTTGCTGTTTTGGAAAAGGATTCTGGGGCTTTTCATCCTAACTTCTGACTCTTTATATTGTACACCTGGCCTTACACATTTGCTGGTTTGACTTCAGATTTGATTATTCATTAATTTAATATGATCTTTCTAGGAATCTAGGTCAAAAATAGCATTAAAAATCCAACCTCTCTGGTCAGCCTCCATTGAATGTGGAACATATAGTTGCACTGAAGGACCTAGAGAGAAGTACAGTAGAGTCTCACTTATCCAACCTTCGCTCATGCAACGTTCTGCATTATCCAACACAGTCTGCCTCCCACCCAGATCCACAGCTGTTTCAATACATTGTGATGTTTTGGTGCTAAATTCCTAAATACAGTAATTACTACATAACGTTACCATGTATTGAACTGCTTTTCCTGTCAATTTTTTGTAAAACATATTTCGGTGTGTAATTTATAAAATCATAACATAATTTGACATTTAATAGACTTTTCTTTAATCCCTCCTTATTATCCGACATTTTTACTTATCTAACATTCCGCCAGCCCATTTATGTTGGATAAACGGGGCTCTACTGTATTGATTCTGATTAGGGAAAGTTGACTATCAAGTTGTTCTGGAGGTCCTGGAGATTACTAAAGGAATGTTCTCTTTGCTTTAAAAATTGAGATTTTTAAATCCATTTTTTCAGTTTTGTAGGGGCCCTGTACCCCTGACCTCAGTGAATGTGAAGAGTCTACTGTGTTTATATTACACATTATATTTATATTTATCCGTCCCTTCTTTTGCATACATCTTACCTGTATATCCTCCTAATAAACTCAATAATTTGAAATATATAATCAGAAAGCAGTTATAAAGTTTCTAGATAGCTATCATTAACTGTAGGAGCTGTGGTGGCACACAGAGTTAAACCCTTGAGCCAGCTGAACTGCTGACCTGAAGATTGGGGTTTGAATCTATGAGGTGAGGTGAGCTCCCATCTGTCAACTCCAGCTTCCCATGCAGAGACATGAGTGAAGCCTCCCACAGGATGGTAAAACATCTGGCCATCCCCTTGTAGACAGTCAATTCTTTCACATCAGAAGCGACTTGCAGTTTCTCAAAGTCGCTTCTGACGTGATTTAAAAATTATTAACTATGATAGACCAAATCTCCATGAATGTGGTTAATTCTCTTTGAATGTTTTCTAAGCTAATGACTATTTCCATGTTCTGTCTCAGATGGTTCCTTGAAAGAGGTACAGATTTTTTGCATAGTGGGTTTCCTGGAAAGAAACTTGCCCAAGCTCTGCTAAGTGTCATTTTGTGCTGCCTTCTAGTCACCTGAAATCTTTTGGAGAACCTGCATTGTCATAAAGAGAAAATCTTCTCTTGCTTTTTTACTTTTATATTTACAAAAAAATAAGCAAATCAGAAACAGTTATTGTATCCTTGAAAAATATAAAATAAAATACATTATGTATTACAATCAAGAAACAAATCAAAACAAATAATTGCAAAATGCAGGATATCTGGTGACTTGTAAATTTAATATGGTCACTTTTTTTTGGCTTGTTTTGATGTTTCTGCAAAACATTATAGAGTACTGTGTATGGGATCTAATAGGTTTCCATTAGTGCCAAGCCTCAAGAAATGCCATTATTGCTTCTGACCCCAAGGGACAGAATACACTATGAACCAAGAAAGTAATTTTATCCCTCAAATATCAGTGGTTAGTAAGCCACCTTCCATGTATAATTGCAGCTTTCTAAATAATGACTAGATATCATTATTGGCAAATTGCTGTAGGCTTTAGAAAACCATTACTGAAATCTAAAACAAAATGGGGTATAAGCATGTTCCTATTCAAAATACCTTCCAGGCACATACACCAGTTCCCAGGATACCTCCTTCCATTCCACCCACCCTCTTTTATATTCCCTACCTGCCTCAGAAGTCAATTGTCTGAAAATTCTTTCATTCCTTCCTGCACTTTATTTCTACACATCTTGGGGTTCCCCCGGACCAGATATATCTGCTCCATACATGCGTTGAGACCTCTTCAACTACATAAGCAGTAGCACTTGGAATATGAATCCCAGAAATCGAGGGAATTGCTTCAGCCAAAAGCAGATTACTTGCTGATGATGCAGGGGATAGAATTACAGTATCACAGAGTTGGAAGAGACCTCGTGGGCCATCCAGTCCAACCCCCTGCCAAGAAGCAGGACAATTGCATTCAAAGCACCCCTGCCAGATGACCATCCAGCCTCTGTTCAAAAACCTCCAAAGAAGGAGCCTCCACCACATTCCGGAGCAGAGAGTTCCACTGCTGAACACCTCTCATAATTAGGATGTTCTTCCTAATGTTCAGGTGGAATCTCCTTTCTTGTAGTTTGAAGCCATTATTCCGCCTCCTAGTCTCCAGGGCAGTGGAAAACAAGCTTACTCCCTCCTCCCTATGACTTCTCTTCAAATATTTATACATGGCGCTCATCATGTCTCCTCTCAGCCTTCTCTTCTGCAGGCTAAGAATGCCCAGAGCCGCTCTTCATAGGGCTTGTTCTCCAGACCCTTGATAATTTTAGTTACCCTCCTCTGGACACCTTGC